ATTGTTCTTGCAAGTAGTGTAAAGAGTCATTGGTTATTTGTTCAGATTCGCCTGCAGTTATATATACTGGATTATCAGGATTATGTGGGAACCCTTGTCGCATTGATAGAGTAAGTTCATTACAGTTATATATAATATAAACAATGTATATTACAAATGATATATGTTATTGGTCTAAGTAATGTGTAATATATTAGCCAGTTAAATAGGTTATAAAGTCTATTTTGTCCATGAGCATTGTTATATAAAGTCAATGAAATCAGTAAATATATTGTGAAATAAATCATAAGAATGAAATATGATTAATAATAAATGATAAATGTAATTATACAGATAATGATATAAACCTTGTAATAGGTACAGTGTAATGTTTTAGTAACAAGGTGGTGTCTACTGCATGTTGTCTTATACGTTTATTATTGTGTTCTTGTAGGGTGTAAGATTCTTCCAGCTAGTCTGATGTCCACAAATGGAATAATTAAAAGAATGGAAACCAAGAACGTGTTTGTTGTAACGCCTCTGCCCAAATCCCATCCCTGTTTCATACTCAGTGTTATTGTCAAACGCTAACGTATTATATACTATATATATATGTACACAATACATTCCAATAATTTCGTTATACAGTGTCGACGCAAATCGAAAGTAGAATAGCCGAAACGGGGAAATAATACAATCATCAATTCAACTCTAAACAACGACTCATATACTTAACCATTTAGTGAAGTCTCGTAATGTAAAACTCTGCCAAAAGTAATAGCGTTCTGCGCAAGTGTCACCGATGGAGTGGTGGCCATGGGAAATCCAGAACTTCAAAATGAGATAGCGACCTTTCTATTTGTAGACAGCTACGTATTCACTTCCGGATTACAGTTCTCTGAACTTTAAACTCAAATGAAAGTGAAAGTGCCCACTTAATAATTCAAATGATTCACATCTCTTGTGTTTGAACTGAAAATTCCAAGTCGTTCATACAGTGCACACTAATTGCTGGGTATTTTTTGTATTACTGTTATTATTCATTATTGACAGAACTGCAGGCTCCTGTAGTGAGCCTGTACATGACATATCCATCTCGATCTCATCTGATTTTTAGCTGTCGGCATAATATGACGTTTCTTTACGAGAAGCCCCACTCGATATATATTTGCATAGGCGGTGCAAATAGTACACACGCATACCATTGAAACTGCATATAGTGAACATTCGAGTTGCCTCCCGTTGAACCGGTTAGACGATTTACAGGAACGGGCAGGAACGGGCAGAAACGGGCAAAAATGGGCAGAAACGGACAGAAACGGGCAGGAACGGGCTGCAATCTATTAATTATTATATACATTAATGAATATATATATTAGATACATTTAAGTATCATTATCGGGTATAAGGTATATTTGATAAAAGGATTGCAATTACATGATCGGGGCAGAATCGGACTAAATTATATATATATTTATGACGATATTACTTATGATACCTACATTTATAGTATCATATATTTTTTATCGGGTATAAGATATATTTGATAAAAGAATTGCAAGGAATTAAGAGTATTGTATTGATATGGATCGGGCAGGAACGGGCGACGATTTACAGGAACGGACAGAAACGGGCGACGATTTACAGGAACGGACAGAAACGGGGGAGGATCGGACTTATTTATATATATTTATTGTATATATTTAATTATCTTTTTCGGGTATAAGGTATATTTGATAAAAGAATTTCCAATTACATGATCGGAGCATAATCGGACTGAAATATATATATATATTTATGTCGTCATTACTTCCGATACCTATATTGATATCATTATATAATTTTTATCGGGTATAAGATATATTTGATAAAAAGATTGCAACGAAATAAGAGTATTGTATTGATATGGATCGGGCAGGAACGGGCGACGATTTACAGGAACGGACAGAAACGGGCGACGATTTACAGGAACGGACAGAAACGGGGGAGGATCGGACTTATTTATATATATTTATTGTATATATTTAATTATCTTTTTCGGGTATAAGGTATATTTGATAAAAGAATTGCAATTACATGATCGGAGCATAATCGGACTGAAATATATATATATATATATGTCGTCATTACTTACGATACCTATATTGATATTATTATATAATTTTTATCGGGTATAAGATATATTTGATAAAAAGATTGCATCGAAATAAGAGTATTGTATTGATATGGATCGGGCAGGAACGGGCGACGATTTACAGGAACGGACAGAAACGGGCGACGATTTACAGGAACGGACAGAAACGGGGGAGGATCGGACTTATTTATATATATTTGTTGTATATATTTAATTATCCTTTTCGGGTATAAGGTATATTTGATAAAAGAATTGCAATTACATGATCGGAGCATAATCGGACTGAAATATATATATATATATATGTCGTCATTACTTATGATACCTATATTGATATTATTATATATTTTGTAAAGGGTATAAGATATATTTGAAAAAAATAATTGCAACGAAATAAGAGTATTGCTTATTGATATGGATCGGGGCAGGATCGGACTCTGTGTTTCCTTCATTCCTTCATTCTCTCTTTCTTTTAACTTTGTGGTTAATCTGTACAGACATAACGGGGAGACGAGATATTTATCTATTTCTGTATCAATTCATTGCATTGATCAACACTAAAATAAACACACCTTGAAACATATTATCGACACTATAAAATGAGACATTCACTATTAAATTATTAGAGTTGAGTTGCATGCAATCATACACCGGTAGAGTATCTCATAATCTATCTGAAATGAAATCTAAAATCATAAAATTAAACATCTCTTTCCTAAAACGTATTCGTTTTTTCATATAAACATATACATGCGACTCAAGCAGTTAGAAATATAATAATCAGTCTCACTATATTAATTCTATTCATGTCACAAAATGGTGTTATTAAGATCACATGTATAAATTTAACAGGAAATATTTAGAAAATTTGAAATTACTTTTCAAAAATGTTAGTTATTCAATTTTGTTAAACATAACAGTATCAATTATATAACAATGCTGGAGAAGAACCTTCAGTTAAATTAGATACTCAAATACTATGAAATTCAAAAAGTATATGGATTGTATATGATTCGAAGTCCTTTCAATTACTTGATTAACTCACAGATAGTCTGTTTTGGACAAGCTAGATATTTTTCCAGATATAGTTCTCTGACCAATCTTATGAAGGATAGACGAGTAGGTTGTCATTAATCAATTCAAAAATTAAATAGATAAATAAAAGGAATTACATTACATCAATTCAGAGACGTATATATTACATATTACGTAATATATACGTATTTGATCATCCGAAAGCTAAATACTAAATGACATGAAAACTTGTTGTCTAATTCCGTGTTCAAACTTGATTCGACTCCCAGAGATACTGTATACATACACTTTTAATAACCATGAGTTTGTGACACTAATTAGGAAATAACAGAAATCTGTTATCTGGAGTACGGCTCCATTCTGGACTCGGGCAAATATCCCGGGTCTGTGCCCCCGGGCACTTAACAATCCAAGTTCCTGAAGGTACACTAATGAGGTGTATACTGGTACCGAATCTAAATCACAGCTACAGGTATATATATATATATTGGTTATGCAATGACGACGAAAACGGAGATAAATTTTGAATAGAATAGAGGATTTTCCCAAAAATTACTTAGTCAACTAAATTAGAACAGATGTTTAAATAATTTTATTATGCAATGAATGTTATAAACGTATTTACGTACATAGTTATAACAACTATCGATATACATGTTTATAATATGTATAAATATAGATTTGTTCCAATATATACTAAAGATACATGCTTGTGAAAAGTAAATCTACTCATACTAAATACTCGTCGAATTTATTTAATCAAATTTAAGTCTTGAAAAACATCAAGTTATATGAATGCATAACCACGGACTTTATCCAATTCCGTGTACAATATCTAATTTTAATTATAAAACATTATATCAACATGTATGTAAGTCCCAGGTATTGTTTATTTAGGTGGATTACAATGTTATAACAGCTTTTTCTCAGAAGTTAATTTAATAAATTGGTTTAGTGATAAAGATACTAAAAATTGTGCAACTGACTGCGATGAGCAACGTTTTACTTTTACGGGAGAAGGTTTTGAAAAGTTTTAACAATTTGTGACCACTACCTTGTACTATATGGTATAAAATGTACATATATGTCTATTGTCGCTATCACATTGTTGTAGTACAATTGTTGAGGAGAGGGCTTTAATAAGTTGTAATAACTTGTGCCCAATCCTCTTGTTTGAATTTAGAAGCAATACAATATGTTTTAATTAAAATGAAATATGTTGAACGAAAAAAGAATCTCAACGATTCCCAACCACTTGTACAGACCAAATCCCGCCTGATATTGAAAGCGAAGTTGATTGGCACACGAGACGTCTCTGACGAGACAGAGCTTACCAGACACATAGGAAATGTTCAAAGGAAATGTGTTCTATTTTGATGCACGTTCATATAAGACCAGAGAATACAAATTTGAAACGTTTTATTGTGGAAAAACGTCTGCGTTGCTGTCCGGTGATATACCATTGAATAATCTGTTCTTGACGTTTTACAGTTTTGAGTTTAGCTGGTGAATTCATTTTCTCAGCTTCATCAGACAAGATAATCATATATGTGTAATTAACCAATCTAAATTGTTCACTCGGCACGCGACGCCAATATTCAAAAGCCAACAAATTAACCATTTAGCTTATGTTATTACAAAGTGTAATCTTAATGACATAGAAGACGAGTGTTATTTTGTTTTAGTTTGCACAAGATATACAGATTTACGACGGAAGTATTTAAAATGTTACTATAGAAATAACCCTAGTGTATATAAGCTTGTTCAATTAGTTAATACACAGAATATTAAAGAATTATGTTATCTTGGAAAGTATCGCAAATAAGCGCCGATCAGATATATGACAGTTTGTATGTGTGTATTGTTCATTCTCCTGTGACCAATGTGGCTTTTTGTACATATGTAAATATCCTGTTTAATATATGTTTACACTGATAAGTCGCAAGACTTAAAGTTAATAAAGAACTAGAACATATGTGTTCACAGGAGGGCGGGGTCACTGATAAGGTGGGGTACTTACCTGTAACGATGATTGGCTTGTGTCGCAAGGTGATTGATGGCTAAGAAATTTGCTGACAGAGTCATCAATGTACGTTTTTGTTAGAACAAGAAGTCTATTGTCTACTATTACGGAATTAGATAATCGGTTTTGACCACACCGGCCTTTGAAAATTGAAACTTAAAGCGTTTCACCGTTTTTCTTTCTACGATACATATACAATTAATATACAGCATTGTTTTTCTATAACAGATAAGGCCTATGTGGCCAAACAATCCAACATATGGACTTCAATATTTATTTACGTAAAACACGTGGACTACACATCCCTGTATTTACATATAGAATAATATTTAATTTTCAGACTGATGTCACTTTTTTGAGTTGGAAAATTGCGTATTTTCTTTGAAAGATACTTAGAAGTTTCATTTGATTGAACTGTTAACCGTCTGCACATCAATAAGTACAAGAACAAAGGATTAATATAATCTTAATGATTATTTTTTTAAGATCGTAGACGTGATTGGATGGTAATCTACACATTAACACCAATTCATTCACTCAAAATATATTCATGCTATTTATTAAGAGTTGAGTATAAGTTATGAAGTTATTAAAATTTGGTTATCATAATGTCATTTCCAATGTTTCATGTGTTATGACATCCCAATAACAATGTCATATATATAAATGAGAAAATAACCCAGATACATATTTATTATATATGTAATAT